GCCCTCTTCTCTGATTGGCTGATACAAAAATCTCAGTAATTTCCTTCTTTTTTGACAAAATACTTTGAAATTTAGAATATAAGTATATATTATAAGGTGCTACAGCATGTTATATAGGAAATTTCTTGAACACACGCGCATGCAGGTGTGCTGCAATCTGATTGGTTGAAACTTTAAATGTCTATAACTCCCTTGGTTTTCAACAAAACAGGATGAAATTTACGACATGGATAGGCACATAGAGCTCCTACATTATGATACTATCAAAATTGAATGCAAGGCCATGCATGTGCGTATGCTGAATTCTGATTGGCTATTACTTAAAGGGTTACATCTCTCTTATTTTTCAATGAGATTCTTTAATATTTAACACAAATGTATGTATTGTGAGACACTATAAGAAAATTAATTTGAAAAATGTAGAAAACATGTGCAAGCACAGGCGCTGAAATTTGATTGGCTAATACCCATATGGCTATATCGGAGTAGTTTTCCAATGAAATACTCTTAAAAATAAAGTGTCCATCTATATTACAAAAGTATTGTCTAATTTATTGAAGCTTGTAGGGAATGGGGCATCATAAGGGATTGGGGAGCCGTTTGGGGAACATCTGTAACGGTTCCCGTTACAATTAGCACTAGTTGATTATGAAAGATATCATGATGAATAAACTGTACATGTGTCAAATAAGCAAAACTTTTTGCATTTTGGGGATAAAAAATTTCAAAATATTCAATTTAGTAAATACAAACAATTAAAAGCCCAAGCTGGATTCGAACTCGGGATGTGTGGTTCACAATTCCATACATTAACCATTAACCACTTGGCTATGGAGTTCATTGAACAAGATGGTCATTAAAACCATTTTAATAATTAAAACTAAATGGCTTTTCGAACAAGGTCAGCCATATTGATTTAAACTTTCCCCTTAAAACTTATTATTTGAATCATAACAGCTAGTACCTATAATACTTTAAATACATCAGTTACCTTGTATCTTTTTGCCACATCACTCGAAAGTTTACCAGGCTTTGGCATGGTGTAATCCTCTGTAAAATAATTCAATTTTTTAAAAATGTGGGGTTTCAATGACAATTGCAAAGTTTCTGTTTTTTAATGCAGACCCATTGAAACTATTAAACAACTGTTATGTGTTTACTTTATACATGATTACTAAATAGTCTTATGTAGTTCCATAGATTCTGAACCAATACAATTTTAATGACTATTGAAACTTGCATTGTCACACTAATTAACTGTAATTAATGACAGAATGAGATATACCATTATTTTCTTTTGACATATTCTGGCTTTTCAATTTCAACTCCTCCAACTCTTTGTAAGCCTCTGAAAGTTCTAAAAAAAAAAAAAAGTTGCACAATTTTAATATTCAAAATGAACAAAAAAAAGTCAAAACTTAGAAACCTAAAAAGCTGTAATTTAAATAATTATTAGAGAGGTTGAGATTTCAAACGTGTACAAGGGGAATCACCTAAATTCATCGCATATTACGTCCTCCGTTTTTGTGACGAGAAGGTTTTTATGAGTTAAATCTCTAAACTTGAAAAGTGTCGTCTACACTAAGTACAAACTTGTGCTTTTACAACAAAAATAATCTAATTGATGAGTGAATATATTCTTGTGATACATTAATTAGATTTTTAAACTTTATTTGCATGCAGATTGATTAAGAAATTCACCATTTATTTGAAGTTAATTAAGTAAATTCATGTACACGTTTATATCCTACAGGTTATGAAATCTCAACTGATAAATTACAAAAACAGGTACGTGTACATGTAGTTATACATGTAACACACGTACACGTTACCTGTACACGTCTTAATCTCAACCTCTCTAATAACTAAACTTTGACTTGTACAATTTACAGAAAAATTTTGCATCGATATACAATTTGAAATGATTAATTTAACCTACTGCATTTTAGAATGCCATTTTCTTTAATTGCTTCAGCATACTTCACCTCCAGTGCTCGGTTTCGAGGGGCTTTTTGAGCCACAGTATTGTGCCCTTTAGCATTCACTTGTTGAACTGGCAGGTCCCTATAAACACAATACAATGTATCATACTTTGCTACAGAAGCATAAACATTTTCAATTTGAATTGAATTACTAAGGATAACAATTATTACTCTAAATTCAATGTAATGGGAACAAACTTATATTTTGTTAGAATAATAACCTACATCATAATAAAATATCACTCATTATTTAGGCGATTGAATAACTCAATTAACCCTCTTTTGATGCAAACTCAGATTTTTAACAAAACTTCAATCTAATACAAATGTGAAATCACTTTTGCTTACGTTAAAGCAATCAATTCAGCATCGAGTGCATCCTCCTCATGATCAGAGTCATCAGCTCTAAAAAAAAGAATGATTTACCATATTAGTGTTAAAAAAATGTGTAACTGTTAATTTACCACACCAAGTAAAAACAAGTTACATATTATTCAAAATTTTACAGCAATTTGTTTTAAATTTTTAACATTGTTTTACTTTTAAATATTGTATAAATATACATATTATTTTAAGATGAGGAGATATCTTTGAGAACTATTACTCACAACTGTGTAAAGTCAATGTCCTGAAGAGGTAGTAGAGGTAGTAAGTCTTCCTCAGTGTCTTTGTTCTCGTTTTGAATTCTACAAATAAATAAAATATGAATGAACAACAGTCAATAATTGAAATGTTACAAAAATATTGACCAGTCAATATTTTAAGAGAATATTTTTTGCAATGAAATGGCTGACTTATTCTTTGCTACTGATAAAAAATGCGACATTATTAATTCATAATGGGTATGCAATTTAACAATTGCTTAAGGCTTTAAGCAGCAGTTTGCTAGCTATAGAA